GAGATTTTGTGGGAGAAACCAGAGCACCTGGAAGTAAACCCTAACACACACAGAACATCCAATCTCATCAACACAAAGGAGGACATTCATGCGCCGCTAGCCGCTGACGCCTCATGGTGACTCGAATAGGGAAATAGAAGAGGGGAACAGAAAGGTTGAGTAGAAAGAGAAGAAAGGGACAGGACAATGATGTCTGTTAACCATTTAGGTCTTTCTGGTCAGCAGCCTTTTGAGCTCCAAGTTTTGCGAATGCACTTGGTCTGCGCAATGGCCAATCTCCTCAAGGATTCTCGAGACTCCTTAGAATGGTAGTTGTAATTCTCGGCAAGCTGGGGGCAGGACTGTCCTTTGAATGTGTTCTTTGAGTTAGTAGATGGCAAACGGTTTACCAGCGGATTGATCCATTTGTTGCCTCTGTTAGATGGTGGCGTCTTGTTCTGTTTTAAACACTTTGTGGTGCTCTGTATATCTTCAGTGTCATATATTGACCCTGACTCTTGGGTGTCAGAAATTGAGAGACAGTGGTTCTGCTTTAGATGTACCTCACCTAGCTCTTCAATGTGAGCAGTGGCAGAGTTATGCAAAGTTTTCTCTGTACCATTTACTTGATGCTGAGACAACTCTGCACTAGCAGGAGAACACTCGGCTGAAGTTTCTCCAGCCCTGAAATTGTCTCTACAGGAAATGGATGTAGGACTTCTCAGCCTCCACCTGTCATCCCATTTCTTAAATATTTTAGTCTCCTCGTCCAATGATAGAAAGGGGTCATATTCCTCCTGCAAATCATCTTTCTTCTCTTCTTCTTGCTTCTCTATGCCGATGCGTGATCTGAACATGAGCTTTTTACACTTTACCGTCTTGTTATTAGCAGTAGATCTTTGAATGCACTTCTTCTCCCTTTCTTTCAGTTTCTCAAGTTTCAACCTAGACTCCTCTGCACGCAGCCTCGTCATCTTCTCTGTGTAAAGCTTCTTTTTCACTTCTTCAGGAATTTTGTCAAGCTGATCAAACAGTCTAAGCATACGGCGCTCTATACTGGCCATTTTCTCCAAAGTGTCGAGAGTGTTATACCGAGTATCTACTATGGTGCGATACACATCAGTCACCTTCATACCCAGAGCTTCCAGCAAGAGATCCTGGCCATCTTTAGGTATTGAATCATGGAGCTGAACCTTGCGTTTGAAATGGGCACCTCTTTCTTTGTATCTCTTGATTTGATCCTTTACTTCATTTAGCTCAGAGTTTAGCTTCACTTCTTTCACATTAAATGCATTTACAATTTTCTCTGTTTGCAGATGAAACTCCTTCAGCATTTCATTGTTTCTGGTGATACTCTGATACAGGACTAGGTGTGCTCGGCCAGCTGCTGGCTCTGATCCACAATCTGCTTGGGATCAGATAGCATTTTCTTTAATTTCTGCTCAAGTTCCGAGCTGTCACCATCCAGTTCAGAATTTTTGTTTTGGGCCGTGGACTGTCCAGGCATCTCCCCACCAAGGCTGCACGTATCCTTGGACTGAGGCAGGAAGGCGATGACAATTTTTTATACTTATCGTATTTACGCATGATTTCTTCAGTCTGTGCCAATTCGTTGTTAATGGTGGCTATTTTGTCATGTAAGTCCTCACTTATCGCGTTTACATCCTCTTTTGAATTGTGCGCTCTATCAAAGTCCAAGTTGGCTTTTGCAAGTCTTTCCTCAGCTCTGTTGAGTGACTCCCTGTGACTATTTTTAAAACGATCAAGCCGCCACTCAAGCTGTGACACATCCTGCTCCTTTGCTTCTATAGCTTTGTGAAACTTCTTAATCTCACATCTTTTTATCACCAGGGATGCCACAATCATGGCTCTCTTCTTTTCAACTGCCGCCCTGATTTCAGGTACATTCTATTTTTTAAGCACTTTATTAAAGTGAAAATTACACACGTACATCCTGAATTTGAACACACAACACACAAACTCTCTCGTATCTGCTGGGAATAAAACCAAAATGTGAGATTAGAGCTGCACAATGTATCACAACCTGTTCGAAGCTGAGGACAACCAGACGAACCTGAACACACACAAATACAGACACACACACATGAACAAAGCTACAGAAAAACTACTACATAAACATAATTACAACACACACACACACACACACACACACACACACACACACACACACACACACACACACACACACACACACACACTAAAACATTCAAACCTAGGTGAGAAACAGCTCACTAAACGTTCCCACACTTTGAGAAGTAGCCTACTGTCATGAGTTGGTGTGGTGAGTTTTCTTTTTTTTATAACTTTTGTAGACACAAAAAAACAGCCAGTTGACCGCTGCTGCAATCATCAGTCATGAGAACAGTCATCATGCAACACCTCAGAGACGAGGACGTCTCATCTTATGTGCTTGTTCCCTTTCCCATGGAGTGATTTCCTCTCCTCTCGACACCTGAGGAGAGAAACTAAGAAGTACGAAATCAAAGTGAAAGCTTTTGCCATGAAAAATAACATTTGTAAATTAGTAAAAACCTAAAACACATTTTTTTCCAGAGCTGCTGAAACATTCCCATGCTTCTGATATTATTCACCATTAATAGTGCTGTTGAAAGCTGAAGATATCACACTATAAGGGCTCCCAACATCACTAGTTTCTGAACAGACAAAGCTTTGATGAAAACTAAAAATGTAGAACAGGAGGATTTCTAGCAGCAACCACAATAAAGATTTGCGCTCTTATTAACCTGCAGAAGGCATCAGAGCACGCAGCTTCTACTGTTCCTGTAAATCAGCATGTTTCTTAAAAGTCAGCTGCTTTAAAAAATAAGGGTGGTCCTGAAATAACAGAAGGACTTTTGATTGGTTGCTGACCAAGACTGATAAACCTTTCTCCTGTTTCTATGCTTCTTTGCGTCTGCATTTCTTAAAGTTGAACAATTCGTAGTGATCCTTTGATCTGGTGAGTATAGCATAAAATATGTGTTCAGTTGGTCATTATTTTCAATCTGCGTGTCTATGTCTGATTTACTGTTTGTTTTTATGCATCTTTATCTGCTGCAAATGTCAGTTTGTATGTCTATTTTACTGCGTTGGTGTATCATCTGTGTTATTTCCTCAAAGCCTAACCCGGGACAAGGACTGCAAATTAGCCATGTCTAGAAGTCCTAGATACATTACACCTGTTGCACTTTAATTAGATTTAACAATACTTACATGTAATGTCCCTGACAAATAAACAGATTAATAAATAAACACAGCACTTTGCTCATAGTGAGATATATTTGGTGTGAGCTGGGAACAAACATTCATATTTGAAGATCATTTGTGTGTTTGATTAAAGAAGCTCTGGAGAAAAATGATCAAGACTTAGCTGGTGCAAAGATCCAGGAGTATTTGGACAAGGGACAAAATGTTCCTCTAAATATTGCTGTCACAGGAGAGTCTGGCTCTGGTAAATCCACCTTTGTTAATGCCATTAGAGGTATAGACGACAAGGATGAGAAAGCTGCTCCTACTGGTTAGAAACCACCAGGTCACACCGTACCCCCATCCAAACTCTAACTACTGCTGTGAAGAATGCTTTTTCATAAATTACCTATAAAAAATCATAAAAAAACCTAATTATTTATTTCAAGACATCTTGAAAAAAAACCTCAAACACTATAACACGTAGGATCGTTTTCACTACACTTTGATCATGAAGTTAACAACCTAAAAAATGGCTCCTTTAATGGAAAGCTTTTCTGTTTTACTGAACAAGTAATGACATGAAGGAGATAAACAGTGAACATCTCTTTCACAAAGCAATTAAATGTAAAAAAAAAATGAATGGTTACACAAGGTGAATTCACAGAGAAGAAAATCACAAGTGGGAACTTGTAGGCAATTTGACCTTTTTGGCAAGGATACAGGGTGTGGCCCCATCTCAGGTTCTGTTACAGAAATTGAACGGCAAACACAGTTATACATTTCCTTAATTTAATATTGACAATAAATGAGTTTGACTCTGTATGCTGTTTGCAAAGAACGTCACAATATCCTTAAAGTTCAGTTCAACAAAGCCAACACTGTAAGAAAGAGGAAACTAAGAGACACTTAACCCTTTGTTTTCTCCACTGTCACATAAATGACAGTAAAATGCAAAACTAGTGAGGGTGTTATGTGCTGAGAAGAACTATTGATTATCTTAATGTTGCGTCTTTAGTCCTACTTAGAGTATAGCATAGTAATAATAATGATATATTTGATTAAATGTACATGAACATGACCCAGGTGAAGGCAGATCTGGATGAATGGATTAAGCACTACAATTCTTAATGTAGTTATTACGATTAATATGTGTAATTATTATGTAACTAATATCATAATAAGCTGAGGTCATTTTAAATTGAAGTGGTAATATTTGCTATAGGTCTGATGAGGCTGATTAGCTAAGAATAAATAACATCCTGCATGCAAAACCTTCTGTCCAAACCATTCTGCTTTAGTTTATAGACGTAATGTTGCTTGAAAGTTGGCAATATGATACAAAGTAAAAAAAAAGAAGAAGAAAAGAATAAAAAGGTAAAAAAAAGCTTGATTCTATTCAGAAACGCTGTGACATTCAGTCATATCTCATATCATATCTTGTGTGGTTGAAACTTGGCTAATCTGCTGTAAATAACATCTGGATCTGCAGTTTCTCTTTCAATGATAATAATGCTCATTTCAACGCCTCCCAGGTGTATTTTTCGGTGCCTTGTGTATTGGGATGGCTGGAGTGGCTTCACTGATGGGGAGCATTTTGCAGGTAACACCAATTGCTACTCAACTGCAGCCATGTATTGCTGTACAGCACCACCAAGAGGTGAACATTAAGAACTACAAGCCTCCTGGTGATTTTCTATTTTCAGGCAGCTTTGTTCATATTTAGCATGATCAGCGGGCCTCTTCTTGGTCGTAGCTAATGAAGATGTTATTTTTCTTGCTTGCATCCACCTGAACATAAAACACAGGTTTAATGTTCAGGTGGATGCAAGCAAGAAAAGAGGAACCCTGATCTGTTTGTAAAGAAGAGTGACCTGTTCTGCTTCAGCTGGTGTAGTAAATCAGAGGTAAGAGTCACTGACCCTTTTGTTCCATAAAGTACAGACAAATATGACATTATTATTGATATTACTCATCAAGCTAAAACATTAAGCTTGAATTTAGTCACCTTACTAATAGTTGTCTTCTTGTTCTCAACCTATTGCAGGAATCAGAAGTCAAAGAAAAGGAACTAAAAGACTTTAACATGGGAGTTGCCAACATGTCAGTCAAACATGCCGACATGATGACTACAGATGTTGAAAAATCCACCAAACTCTGATGCTGCTACACTCCATAATGATACACTGTTCTATAATTCACTTAATTTCAGAGACGCTTCAATGTATATACACATAAATAATAAGTAAATATATTTTCTGCTGCTACATTCCAAGAACAAATAATTATTCAACAACTACTGGTATGTGTCCTTATGTTGACAAGACTTAAGTTTGAGGTAAAAGGGATTTTAGATGTTTTAGTAAGAAAAGGTACATGTGGATACATTTTTGTATTATTGAAACTAAACTTTACAACATTCAAACTCAAATTCCATATTCAAGCTAACTAACTAAAGTTACAGCACAGTTAAAAAAACCTACAGTATGAAAATCTACTGCAACATGTGGTGCCTTTCCGTAGTGCTATAACATTTACGGTGTTGTGTATTCCCCTAAACAATAGAAGAAAAGACATGTAACATAAACACAAGGTTGCCACATATTATGCTCTGCACTGATTAACTGCTCTGGCATCCTGTTAAGCAGTAACATACCATGATTGCCCATTGTTAAAATGGCTGCTAGCTCTTTATTCTCTACATGAACATTGTCCTCCTCCACCTTACGTTAATACAAAAAGATACGCATTAGCAGGTGTTACCGTATTTTTTCTTTTATATAGTGCTTACTCAGCTGTGGTTTAGTGTGCCTGAAGTTATTTCCTGCAGCAACACTGTGAATTAAATATTTGAAAACTCTTAAATTGAACCTACTTTCAAAAGATAATACACTATTTATAATATATAGTGTTTACCTTCTAACAATATCAGGAGCTAAGACTAAAGGCTAGTCACAATATAACTACAGTTAAGCATAATAACACAGATGTTACAGTGTTTTTTAGTCCGTCTTTATTTTCACAGTAGAGGACCTCAAGGCAATGGATACCACGTTCGCTGTGCTGGCTTGCTGCCTTTTGGCGTTTCATTTTGCGGTGGCTCAAAAAGATAAGGGGAATACGACAGTCACACCTACATTATCAACAAATACCTTAAACCAAAATAAGACAACAATGATGCCAACTACAGCAAACTCTGTAACATCACATGCAACTGTTATCTCAACTTGACTGAGAACACAACTCCTTTTGATAGCAAGGAAGCATTCACCAAAACTATTGAAGCATCAACTGAGAACACAAGTCATCCTCAGACTATTCAGTCAACAACCATCACCACCACTCCTCTAACAAGTCATACATCACTGACAACTGGAACACCCGGCACCAACACACCGACTTTTACTGCACTGACAACACCATTACAGCAAACTACAGGAGTTTACGCCACTTCACCTGATACTACAGTTACTAAAGCTAATTCAACTCACTCTGTCAACCCAACCTCAGATTCAAAGTACAGAACCACACATGGTAGGCAACTGGCTTGACATTATTGTTTAAGACTTAAAGCCATTATTTTAATGCTTATTATTTTTATGTTTTCTGTATTTCTAGGTTTGGGCTTAAACAAGTCAGAAATAAATATGACTATTCTCTTCAGCATTGTCCTCAGACTGTTTGCCGTGGTACCGGTTGTGTTCTTGTTTTACAAATACAAACACAATATCCAATACTTGCATCAACCTTTAACCAACACTGATGCTACAGGTAAGGAACCCCCTTCATCACACGTTAAACACAAACCATTTTATGAATTACTTGCATTTAAAACAAAAAACCTATTACATTTCCTACAGATGCATATGTGGCAGATGAGGACACACTTCTGGAGGACTTTATGATGGCCATCCAATATACAACAATGTGCCAACACCCCCAGAAGACCAATCTCAGTTCCGTCTGGAGTTCCTTCATTAATGTGAACAGAATTCCAACACTGAGATTTCACCTTTGGTGCTTGACTGGCATGGCGAATACTTAATACAAGACTGAAATGTCCCCCCTTTAAACCTGACGGCCAATTGAAGAGAGGAAGAGAAGATGCTGATGTGCAGAACATTTATTCAAAGACAATGATGATGGATCTGACCTTTAATGTTAACAATGCCAATACAAGGATTCATAAATATATTAGCTATATTAAGTTAGAAATACTTAACAATCACCTTTCCCACAACAACAATGTAAACCTGTGCCAAAACGAGCTTCCATTTAAACACCAACAAAGACCAATTCTTCTAGATAGTAAAAAAAAAACACCAAACAGAACTTGAACACAATTCAAACAACTAAAAAACTTGAATGTTGAATCAGTCACTTAAATTGCAATGAAGAACAACGAGCTAAAATTGTAGGAATATTAGCCAATAAAACTTTCAATTGTAAACAATACGGTTCAGCAAGTTCATTACAATACTTTCAATGCATGCTGTGAAATTCATTTGCCCGGTATTTACTTATTATTTTATCCCAAATGTTATTATATAAACCATGAAAGATGGAATATGAACACCTAAACCTCTCAGATACAGTTATTGTGTCTAACCTGTCACAGGACTATTTAAGCAAAGATCTTCTCATTGGTCCTCTTTTTTTTTTTGTTACAGCCAGTAACAGTAGTCCACCCAGCATCTCTCATCCTTTTCATTGCAGCTAACTTTAAGAAGTTCCCTGGTGATTTATGAACAGCTGGACTCTGGATCTGATTGAATGAAAATGCCCAAAAATTATTATTTTTTCTAAATATAGTCTTTCAAATAGCATTGCTGGACTTTGGACAGATTACCTTTTTGAAGATGTTTTGTTCGCAGGATGTAGCAGAAAAGTTGGCTGGCAGTGCACTTGCAAAGGTCTTTTTGAAAGAGGAACCAGAATCATCTTCTCCAGCAACTTAACACAAACGATCAAATACAATTCATGATACAAAAAGTTTCATTAAACTTACCAGGAGATCACCTAGATCGGAGCTGTCTGACTTGGGGTCAAGCTCAATTGTTTTCTTCCAGCATACAGCCTTTTCAGTAGAAGGGGGTGTCCTTATTCTGTAGGACTAAAAGGGAATTCAAGGAGTGAATGTCAGCAGAAGTGATGAATATTTTTTTATTCATTTTGGGAAATGTCAGAATGAAACTGAATTAAATTACTTTGATCTTTGAGGTTCCTCCAATCCTTTTTGGAAGACTTTGTGGGGTTTTCAGGTCTCCACTTTGAATTTCCTATGATGCAAAATCAATGTCAGTGTGCAGTATTTTGAAAGAAACAGTAAACGCCATCATAAACTGAATTAATGTGTTAATAACAGTCTCTATTATCTAATCACATTTGCTCAGTAATACATCAAACTGCCATCTACCTGGGTCTTTTGTGATGTTCCACATGGTGTTCTGATGATTCAGCATCAAATTCTTTATCCTGTAAAGAAGACAAAGAATGTTACAGTAGTTAAAATTTTTTTTAAGTGCTTGGTTATAGCATGCAGTGACTCATGATATGAAAAGCATTAATTAAGAACAACATGAGGACACAGTTTTAATTACACACATACATACATACATAGCTTATAGACTAAACCCCACCAAAACACCTATTTATTTTCTTCACACACAATAATAATGAATAATGGAGAGGAGATCTGAATAAAAAAGGAATGAAAATACAGTTAAAAGGTAAGAAGGTAGCACCTTTAATGGGATGGGGCTCTGAAAATAGACAAGTGAATACAATGTGTATACTAGCTCCAATTACAATTGTTTGAAACTGTAAACATCGTTACAATTTTGAGTAATAATTAGATAGAAATGAATGAAGAATTTACAACTTCATGATTTCATCTCCATCTCAATTAATGAGATGAGACAGTTTACTACGTGAAAAAATTAGATTCAACTCACGTCATTCTTCATCACTGCAGTACTTCTTGTGACTTTACTATGGGAGGGAGTTTTTCTGCTCTCGGAGAAGTCAAACACGTGTCTCTTTGCAAAACTGTCGTTTGGAGTATCTGATGATTTCCCTTGTGTGGATTTTAAGGCAGGAGACTAGAATTTTAAGATGAAATCTTTGTTAGATACAAATGGTAAACAATGGCAATTAGTGGCTCCCTATTTGCTCATATGCAGGTTTGTACCTGCTTGTTTCCTGATCCTGATAGCTGAATGATTTTCATGATGACATTTCTTTCTTCAAATCCAAAAGCTCCTTCTGCAGGTTTGCCTAAAAGCAATCAAAAGTGTTTGTCAGAGAATGAAGCGTCTCTCATATAACAAAGTACATCTTGCTCAAGTAAGGAGCCAAAAATAAACAGATTCAAACAAAGACTTAATGTACCTTCTTTGACACTTCTGTCTTCAGCTGTTGCTTCAGCTTAACATTGTCTGTCTTATTCTTCAAAAGATCCAACTCCTGGTTTAAAAGAAGGGTTTGAATGTTAAATGATGAATTTCAGCCAGTCACTTTTTCATTTAATAACTAATGTATGACATTGCAGTATCATACCAGTGATTTCTTCTGGCAAACCGCCTCCATCTCTCTCTTTTTGTTCTCTTCAACCATCCGGTCATACTGCCTCTAGTAATGACAAGTCAAATTCCTTTCAATGCAAAAAGTCTTTGGATCAACAATGCTGCTGGAAGAGACCTTTTTCAGATGGCACATAACCGTTATGATGAGCGTACCTTGTGTTTCTCCATTAGTGCGACCATATCTGCTATCTTCTGTTGACATTTCAGTTCTGCCTCGTCCTTGTTCTTGACGGCCTCTGCTGTTGTTATTCTGAGCTTTTTTACCTTCAAGACAACGTGTTTGTTATTCATATTATTTAGTCTAAAGGGCTGAAAATATTAACATAACACTATTGTGAAAATCACCTCGTTTTCAAGCTCAGTTGCGGATGTTGATTTGGACTCGAGATCGTTCAGCAATTTCTGAAGGTTCTGGGACTCCTCGTAAAGATTGTTGATCTATGGGCAAACAAACATCTACATCACACAGGGCTATACTTACTAGTTTAAAAATTTGAGATAAATATGAATAAAGACACTTCACCATACCACAGTTTCAAGCTCATTGGATTTTGCAATCTCCTTTGCGATTTGTTCCTTAAGCACTTTGTTCTGAAACCCCCCCCCCAAAAAAACAGACATAACATGTGAGCCAAATAATTATAAATACTTTTTTTTGTCATATTTTCAGATTGAACAGCTAAAAAAAAAAACAGTCCATTTTAGTTACTTCCTGAAAGAGATCAACAATAATAATAACAATAATAATGGCACTTTAATTTCATATAAAAGTATTATGGCCACCTTTGTTTCCACAGATTTGATTTTTGTCTCCTTTTCTGTGATTTCCTCCTGCAAATGTTCACCCTATGCACACAAAAATCATTTTCCACTTTACAAACTAAAATCAGTTTGTGTAATGATTGATTTTGTTGGCATACTTACTTTTTCTTCAATTTGCTTCTGTAGAGTCACCGTTTCCTGATAGTTCCCTTGGATTCTGGTTTTACATGAGTCTACCTCCTCTCTGTTTAATTTAGAAAACATTTGTATACATTTTGAAAACTACTCAGTGTAAAAAATCTTTAGGTCTCCAAAGAGTAAACTTACCGTAAACACAGATTGTTTTCCTCCAGTCTTTGAATTTCTCTTATAAGCTTTGCAGCATTCTCCTCACTAACCTGAACAATCAAGTGTTTCAGTTACAAGAAGCATTCAGTAACAGACATAAAACCAAATGTATACAGATGCTGTACACCTGAAATTATCTTTTAATTTTGATTAGAAAAATTCAGACCTTAATGTTTGCCTCAATAGCTTTCACATTAGAAGATCCACTCTCAATGGCTTTCTTCTCAGACTGCAGCCCATTAAAGTTGGATAATAGCTCTTTGTACTTTTCTCTTAAAAAGGACACAAATCATACATTAGACATTCAAATTACAATAAGCTAGTGTGCATGCTGATATTATGGGGTGGTGTGTAATAAATACTCACTCATGCTGTGTGATGTCTTTGTTCAACTGTTCCATCTGACAGGTGTTTTCTTTATTTTTCTCTATTTCAGAAAACAACTGGTGCTCCAGCTTCTGCACTTTGATCTGAGGGTATATAAAAAACATACTGCTGTGAAGACACAACCTGTTTCAGAATCAGTGTTGTAGTACTTGAGTCCAGAGCTTGGACTTGGGTCCAACTCAAGTCCTGACATACAGGACCCAGTTGAGCACTGGGGACTCGAGACGAGAGTAGACTCAAGATTTGGTGACTCAACAACACTGATATAGATTGAAATTTATCACTGCTTATGTTTTCATGATCTCCACAAAATCTAAGACACATTGAGGGCAGCAAGAGGACACATTATTTCGGAATGGAACACGATTTTTGAATAGTCATTAATTAATTTACTTTTTAAAAAAGATTTCACCCAACTTTTATCTCATCTTGAAAATACATTTTTGAAATATTACTGTCTCCTGGTTGTAATGCTGTACTACCGCAGATGATTTTTCTAAATGACTGTTCATCATGAGTCTGGTTTTGCCCAAAATTTCTGCCTCCTTAGAATGAAGTTTTTTCTTGTTGGCATCAGGTTAATGAACTCCGATTTAGGATACTAATGTTTCATAATGTGGATCTGTGTGTTAATAAGCAGATCATCTAGCTTTGTTTTTCATCACTTCTGTCCGTAGTCATTCACTACTCTGTAACACCTATACATTCCTCCTCCTCTGCTGCATCTTGGTCTCTTATAACCGTTTAGTGCTGTTAAAGGCAGATGAAGGTGAATGAGGCTGTCTTTCTGCAAATAAAGCAAGAAAGTGTGTGCGTGTGTGTGGGGGGTGTTGCAGTTATTTTAATTTTATTCAGAATTGCCAGTGACTTTTCGAAAAGTAATTTTGCCTTAAATGCACATCCCTAGGAATTGATAGAAAAACCTTTGTTGCTGCTGATTTCTCCTTTAAATCTCTGTGTTCCTTTTCAGCAGCTTCACAAGTCTTCTTCAGCATATCGTTTTCAGCAGAGACAACATCCGCTTCATTCTGCATCAATAAGATAATGTATATGAGGCTTACATTTTAGGTATGAGTATTAGCCAATGTAATAAACATCATATATTCTTCTTAACATTACCTTAAATAGCCGTGCTTCTTTGTTTTTCCTTAAAAGCTCGGCTTCAAGCTCCTTTACTCTGATTTCAGCTATGCCTATCTTACAATGAATGGACTCAATGGACTTCGTTTGTTTGTCCTAGCACAAAGAAGCTTCGTATGAGTGTTTAATGTAAGTGTTTTGGATTCTTCCCAATACAATGATTAGTGTATTTAGATAGAATACACTCAATGCAATAAAACCAAATAATAAAAAACAAATCACCAGTTCATCCTCTAGGTCTTTGATCCGCCCATCTTTCATTGCACTCTGCTCCAGGCTCTCTCCTGTTGGATAAACATTTTGTGTCAGGGTAACAGGGCATGAATATAAAAATGATATTTATATATATATATATATCCATCAGCAGGTTACCTAAAAGAGTGCTTTTACTTTCAAGTTCCCCCTTGTTTGCGATTAGTTTATCCTCAAGTTCTTCGGCCCTTAAAGTTAGTCATGAAAGGAACATTAGACCATGATGTATAACTTTGTTTCATCTGAACAATGCTGTGATTTTTTAGGAGAAAGTTATACTTCTGTATCTCTGAGGATAGAGAATTCTGTAGTTCCTGCATAGTTGTCTGAATCTGCTCCAGCTTCTCTGCTTGTTGATTTTTAACTCTGCTGAGCTCCTGGAGGCTGAAATCTCTGCTCTGAATCATCTCTGCATACTCTTCTTTATTTTCTTTCAGCAGTGCAGCAATGACTTCACGTTGTTCCTAAGAAGAAAAATAAAAAATGGTTTAATGACTATGCAGAGAGCCCAAAGAGTCCAAGTTTTACTCACAATGACTTGAATCACAACACACTCACATCACTTTCTTTTAAGCACTGCTCCACACGCTGCAGTTTTTGAAGAAGAGATTCCTTTTCAGTTTCTGAGCTTTTGAGAAGTTCATATTGTTCATCTGTAAAGAAAGTACCGGTAGATATTTAACAAGGATTTACAAATGTACTTACACTGCTTACATAGTATAAATTGAAGGAAAATAAATGTATTTATTAGTCACAATAAGTACCGAGACATTGCGAACATAAAGAGTAAAAGCTATCATTTCATTAATACAGATAATACTTCAACATGTGAGCTGATGGTCAAATTTGTGTGCACAAAATAGTCCGTAAATGAGTTTAATGACACAAAATGTCACAAATGTTATTTTTTGCAAAATGGTGCAAAAAAGCAACATAAGCAGCCGTGATCGCTTTGTCTTGAAATCTAATAATGAACTTACTTGTTGCGTCTTTAAGCTGTTTGCAGTGCTTCTGGGTTTCATGGAAGTCCAGTAGGATCTTTTGTAGTTCATTTTCCTGTTTCTGAAGATCTGTTTGAAGAACTGCCACCTGTGAATGAAGTGTAACTCCTCAAGTTGTTTGTTTGAAAACTTATGAGAACACTGCATTCAAAAACAAGCTGATCTATATCTAGTTTAATATTACTAACCTCTTTCTCTTTCATGTCAAATTCTTCTTTAAATTTCTCTTTCACAATCTCAAATTGCTGTAAGCCCACTTTGACTGGAGAAAAAATATAAAAAGGTTCATAATATTTGTGATGCAGGTGTTTTCAATCTATTAACAAAATCATCCCAAGTATATTACAAAAATAATTATATTCTGTTAGTTCTGACCTATTAAAATGTGTTACAACTTGGAGTACCTGTTGAAAAAAGCCTAAAAGTAATTCTTTAAAAACCAACCTTTCTGCATCTCTTGCTGATCAGCCTCTGCTTGAGTGCGGAGGCCTTCAAATGCTGCAATGAGTTTCTAGAGAAAAAGAGTTTATTTTTAACTGTACATCAAATTTCTGTCTGGAAAATTAGCATCAATTTCAAAATATTTCGTCATATTTTGATAAACAAGTATTTTACCTGAATACTCCCACTATTTTCCATAAAGATGTGATGGGTTTCTTCTCTTTCAGATTCGACTGAAAAGTGTGAAGATCGGCCATAAATTATCCAAAAAATGAATCTCTATTCAGGCAAAAGACAATCTAAAACATATTGTACTTACATAAATGCATTTTCTCAGCTGAACGCTCAAAAGTATCTTTGAGAAGATTACACAGGTTCCTTGTTGCGTTGTGTCTGTATCAGGATTAGGTATTTGATATAATAAAGACATTTCACACAGACAAATAATTGAAATATAAATATCTGATTGTGAAGCTTATCTCGCTCATATCTAAGCAGTGTACTTCAAGGTTTGATACAGCAAGGCTTTCTTTTGCTATCAGTTGTCTTTGAAAACCCTGAATCTTTTTTGGGCTCTGTGCACGATCCCTAAATAGGGGTGCTTTGACAGACATATTACTTTTTATATCTGCACAAAATTGAGCAATTTCAGGCTGCCAACTTGTCAACTTATATAATGAAAGGCAAATAGAGCATATTATGATGAAAGGGTTGTGCTTCCCACAGCCCAATTCAAACCCCATTTCTGAGCATAACCACCTCAAAGCAGATTAGGTGTTAGGCATGGTTTACCATTACAATTGATCCAAATTAAAAAGAGAACATCCTTCATGATATTGAAATCTTTTGCTTTAGACAAAGTTTTTTGTTAGTCCATTAATCTGACTTCTTAGTACACC